GATAGGTGGCGAGGTAAGGAGTCCCTTAAGCTTGTCGAAACTGTCTTGTGGTTCAAAAGACCAGTTCCATTTCTCGTTCTTTCGAAGTAGGCGTGTTAGCGGTGCGCAAATTGAAGAGAACTGTGGGATGAAACGACGGTACCACGAGCACATACCAATAAAACTTCTTAGTTTTTTAATGTTATTCGGAGGGAGTAACTCCAAGATTGGTGCAATCTTTTCTGGGTCTGGGGACAAACCTTCGGCTGTAACAAGAAATCCCAAGTATTTAATCTCTGGGCAGAAAAATCGACATTTTTCGAAGTTCACCATCAGGTTCGCGTTACGTAGAATCTGCAAAATTTGCCTCAGAACTCGTATATGTGTTTCAAACTCCTCACTTATTATAATTATATCATCAAGATAGATATATGCGTATGGTGCTAGCTCGGGTCCAATGAGGAAGTCTCCTAATCGTTGAAATGTTGCTCCTGAATTGCATAATCCATATGGCATGACTTTGAACTGGAAATGTCCAAAACCGGGAATTGAGTAGGCAGTGTATTGCTTGCTGTCAGGTGCTAATGGTATTTGCCAGTAAGCGTGGTTGAGGTCGATCTTTGAGAAGTATTTTGCATGAGATAGTCTATCTAAGATGTCTTCCATGCGAGGTAAGGGGTATGCATTTTTGCGTGTCACCGAATTCAATTTACGAAAGTCCAAGCAGAATCGCCAAGTACCGTCATCCTTTTTCACCATAGCGATTGGGTGATTCCATGGGCTATTGGATTTTTCGATTACATCTTTTTGCAGCATTTCCTTGGTCTCTGTGATGGTCGCTTCCTGTAATACAGGTGACATTCGGTAATTCCATTGATGGATACGTTCCTGGGTTGTAACTTCGATCTTGTGCTCAGCCAAGTCCGTTCGACCTTTTACGGAGTGAAATTTCTTCATTTCTTCTTCAATAAAGTCGTGGGCTGTCGTTCTTTGGACGTCGCTAAGGAATGCTAGGGATGGAACATCCAGTCCTGCTGTCGGTTTGAAAGTGACGAGTTTCCTCCAGATGTTACTATCTTCTGATCCTATGTGGTATGTTTCATTCGCTGCATCAATTTGCATCCGAAGTGCTGTTAAGGAGTCTTTACCGAGAATCATTGGCACGTGTAACTCCGGAAGGATAGAGAATTCCAGCTTTATATCTACTGAACCGACACGAGTAGTTATCTCAGTTTCGCCTTGAAGCTCAACCTGATATCCGTTAGCGAGAGTGACGTGAGTCCGTCTTGGAGCTTGGAGGGTACATCCTAATTTTCTGAGCCTTCTCCAAGTCTGTGAGCTTATATATGAGCGCGAGGCTCCGGTGTCAATCAGGCCCATCACTTCAGTGTCCTGTACTTTAATAGGGAGGTACCATCTTGCGTCTCTATTGAAGATAGATCCAACAGCCGTTCCCGAGTGGCATGATGTATCCTGGTCCTGCGTTTGATCGTCGGGCGGGATTTCTGAAATGATGGAAGCGGTTGGCGTGGGATGGCTTCCCTTGTTGCGGCAACGGGGACAGGATTTTACGGTCACTCCTTTTTCTCCACATCTGTAACAGAAATGGCTTCTTGGCTGTGGACACTCGCTGAAACGATGATCAGCACCATTACAGTTCCAGCAACTTGAGTTTCGAGTTGATGTGGTGGTTGGGCGCGAAAAGTTTGGATTTTCTTGGTGGTTGCTTTTAGGCTGGTCTTCCTGACTGATCCCTGCTAATTGGACTATGGGTTGACGCTGTGTAGTGGTAGCTGGTTTAGGTTGGGCCGTGAGGGCTAGCGTCTGCGGTATTAAAACCTTCTCTATGCTTGGCTTGCGGGAGTCATATGCCGTGTCTGGAAAACTGGCTTGAGCAGGATTGGGGGTTGGTTTGTATCCAATCATCTGTCTCAGGACCAACTCGTAGCTTGTAGCCTGCGCGATTAGGGCAGTGATAGACGTAACCTCATGTGGCTTTACATACAACCGATAGTCCGGACGGAGATTCCTGTAGATAAGCTTTAGTTTATTCTCTTCGGAGTAGGTTCCGAGACTTCTCAAGATTGTCGAAATCGCTATAACGTAGTCTTGTACTCGCTCGTTCGGGCCTTGGGTTCTGTTTCTGGCTTCTTCTTCAAGCCTCTCCTCATAATTTGGAGGAAAGTACATTGCTCTAAATTCTTGAAGGAAATCTTCCCATGAACACCATGGTTCGCGAGGCATTCGATACCATAATAGGGCATCACCGGTAAGAACTTCGGGGATTGCCCTGAATAGAGTCTCGTCAGGCAATTCGTATTCTTCTTTTAGTTCAGCCAGCCTCTCGACAAATGCGATTGCCTTGGCTGGGGAGCCATCGAAACGGAGGCCCCATTTGCTGACTCGATCTAAAAGGTTCTGCTTCTCCTTGTTGGTCACAGTTCTGGAACGTGGTTCAACGGCGAGTTGGGCTAACTGCTGCTGGATGGCCTGAAGATGTGGCACCTGGTTGCTAGGTGGCATTAAGTTCTGCCTTGCTTGTTGAACAATTACCTCCTGAAGACCTCGCAATTCCTCCCTAAGATCTTGAAATTACTGCCTCGATACCATCTCAGGGGAATCTTGGGGCCGCAACATATTGCCGCTAAGTCTGGTGTTGTGATCGGGATTCGACTGATGAGCCTATGGAAGTATAACATTAGCTGCTTCGTATCTGTCCAAAAACTCTCTTACGCCACTCATGTCCTCGAGTGTCCTATGAATCTCTTGTCGAGCTTCTGCCATGGCTAGGCCGAGGGTGGCAATTTTTTCTTCGAAAGCCAAGGTATCTGAGTTGTGGGGGTGCTCACCGAGCATTTCTGGGTCGTCTTCCAGGGTTGCTCCCTGCATTACTCTGACATTTCGGTGAGGGTCCGGCGGCTGCTGTGATATCATAACGGATGACCGCAAAACAGTCTCTGGAGCGGTCGGTCGTCTCACCTGACGCATAGGTTCCAAACGGAAAGAAATCTTCTGTTGGAGACTGACCGCGTCGTTGTACTATCGCCGAATTTAGTTTCACGCAGAGTCTTTGGTGACTATCTAGCGACGGCGCGGCGCGTTGGCTGATAACGCTCTCATGAAGACGCACTGGTTCCTTTGTGAGCGCGTAGTCACTAACACAGACGCACATGAAACACACACACACATTTTCACTCATTCACCGTGAGAATTCACGTTTTTGGCTCTTTGGAATGTAAACAAAGATTCGTAATGACGTATCGCGCATCGATTCCCATTCTCACTTGCCTCTTGTTCTTGTGACTAGAGCAAGGAAGAAAGGACCTCATTCCAAATTGTCCGTTTCAACCTTGGCCTGATCTTCGAAATATTTTCAAAGTTGATAGAGGATCTCCTTCCGAGTCTAAAACACTGACGCATTTTGAAATCGGACGATCACGGAGGGAGGGGGAGGGGAGTCCAAGTAAAAAAATTAAACTCGCAATATCTCGCTAACGCTTTGTCGTAGAAAGATGACATTGGTCTCAAAATGTAGAGAAAACCACCAGTTTTCAGGCGATAATTACAAAATTGGTCCATTTTGGAAATTTCATCCATTGTTGCCACGTTGCCGAAGCTCAAATGTTCAGTTTTTCACCTTTTTAGCTGCGACGTTGAAGGAATCGCACAAAAAGTAATCTAACTATTTTTTGATGAAAGTAGACCGTTTAAGCTTTAAAACAAGCACAAGTTCATCCTGAGGAAACAAGTTGGAGGAGAGATATGATTTTTCAAAGTGGATGTGGTACACTTGGACCTGGTTTGTTCCGAGTCCCAAGATCATCAAATGCCCCCAAACCAATCACGAATTGCAAGGTTGTGCATTTTTATACCCCATTATAGCTAATTCCCGAAGAAAATCATTAAAAAAGATCAAAATATCGAGACATATGAATGGTACAAGACTAGCCTCAGCTGACTCTCGTTGCATCAACAAAAATTCATGCCTCTTTTTCAAATCGTTTCTGTAGGATGGACTTAAATTTAAAAAGCTCAAATGGTACGATTTTATTAGCAATTCCTCTTTTTTCCTCTTATTTCTACCGAGCGAACCGTTGATGGTAAACATACATTTTTTTATGATCGAAAACTTTGATTTCCCTGTATCCATTGCATATTACTCATTTATCCTGATCTTGTCATTTTTGACGAATGATTAAATCTAGGAGTGACCTATAAAGGTATCGCCCCAGCTAAAAATTGAAAATTTGAACTACGGCAACGTGACAGCATTGGATGACATTTTCAAAATGGACCAATTTTGTCATCATTGTCTGAAAGGTGGTGGGGTGGTTTCCTCTATATTTTGAGACTAGGATCATCGCTTTACGACAAACCGTTCACGAGATATGCGAGTTGAAATATTTATCTTTGAACCCTTTTCTCTCTATCCGTACTTGTTTGATTTCAAAAAACGTCGGTGTTTTGGACTCGGAAAGTGATCCTCTATCGCGAAAAATTAAAAGCGCGATGGCGTGAGTCGTGAGGCGTGAATTCGCAATATGCTCTTCTCTAGGCTGTTAGTCAGATCCGCGAGAAAAGTTAAAAAGCGAGGCCGGATTACGTTTTTCTTACCTTCGACTGTGTTGCTCACGTAGCCTTTAAAGCACCACTACAAGTGAGACAAACGAAACCAACACAATAAGGAAATGGAGCAAGGGAAAGGACTCGCGTTGATCACGGCGCAGAGATACGACTATTCGTGCTTGATGGATGTCCGTGTTGCATCTGCAAAATTGAAGGCGCAATGGCCCGGGGCATGAACTCGCAATGCTCCGCTATGTGCTGCCAATGAGGTGTCTCTTAGATTCAGGGAGAAAAGTTAAAAAAGAGGCCCAAATAGGTCCCTCCTTTCTTCGACTGTGTTGATTTGATACTCGATTCTTTTTTGGAATGATTTGCAGACCAACATCTAAAGCTCGCGTGAACCGGCCCCATCCAATCTGCGGGGCAGGTTTTGTTAGGAAGCCTCGCAATTTGACCCGGCTTCAGCATTTAAGTGTTAATAAAAATATCATTAAAATGACTGCACCTTCCTCGCAAAAAGTCAGTATTCAACATTGGATCCAAAATAGGCCATTCAGTCTGTGAATTTCAATAAAATTTGGTTATGCTATCTCACAAAGTTAGGCTTCAATTGTTCGGTCACGTCTGAAAATATTCTCATTTCCAACAAAATTATTGCTGAATGGATCTTCCTGCCGTATATACCTGATGCATTTAATTGATTTGTTCCTATCTCTTTTTTTTACTTGCCTTACTAAACACCTTGTCCTTTGCTAGACTCAACACTCTTTTTCCCTCTCTCTCTCCTTCAAAATTTCACCTTGTACTAACTAGATTGCATGTTTCATTTTCCAATCGAGGAAGCTAAAAAGATCTTTCCAGCTGTCATGTTTCTTGGGTTCATCATTTTCAGACTTTTAGTGTTTAAAAGCAGTATTTTAGGTGGCCAGATCTGCCTCAGAATCTCTAGAAATAACGGAGCTTGGATGCGTCTGGTAGCTGTGATTTGTTCTCTTTTTTTTCGTTTCACAAGTCCATCGGTTACTTTAACACGCTCAATTTTAAAAATTTTTCTCTGGGGGTGCATCCCCCCGGGAAATATCATACGACACCCCCTTAACCGGCCAAGGGTCCACGCTCTTAGATGTGAGCCAGTCCGTCCACGCGAGGAACGTTTAATTTTACGAGGGAACTGGTGTCCGATAGAAATGAATAAGGTAATTTTTGGATCGAGTAATACAAAAGGATACAGGTTATTGCACGTCCAACGAATGTCTCTCACTTTTTCTAATAACAATTTTTCTCCAGTCAAATGACATAATGCGCTTGTAAAGCCCCAAGTGGAACGCATCATTTTGTTTTTCGTCCGAAAGAACGGAAAAATTATTTTATCTAGGTCCTTAATGGAGGACCTTCCACTAACTATATGTTTGCTGCTAGATCAGAGAATGGCCGTGTTTTTTTTATATATACTTCTGACCAATATTTTGGAAATCCGAAGGTTTATACAAATGCGTATTTTTGGCATTTGAATAAGGGTTTTTTTTGTTGCAAACTCGATCTTTCGGAAAATTAGTGGGTTGTGGAAAATACAAAGGTCGATTCGGGGTCAGAAGCAAAAAATAAGATATAGTAGCTCAATTATAGCTATCTGAATAAAATGATTTTTTGTCCTTCCGGACTCAAAACAACGGATCAGTTTTATATATGATTCGTGGGTGGATAATGCCATTTTGACCGGAAAACTCTCATCAGAAAAAGGGAGACATGTTTTTTGGACATGCGGTATGCAATACATGTCTGGCTAGTGTCTATGTATCCTTGGCCCCTAAATTCAAGAATTACTTCGGTTTATCTCGATCATGCATCAATTTCCAGAAAATCAAATTTTCCTTGGAAAATTCATTTTTAAATAATCCCAATTTGCCTGGAAAATGGCAGAGACAGGGACAAACCGAGGTCATACTTGGACCCAGGGCTGAATATTACACGAGAATTCGCTAATGAAGCATTCATTTTTTTTTCGGTGTATACTTGTGTAATCTTTCATATTCAACAGCGGACCAGTTTTGCGTCAATTTCAAACTTCCTGCGCGAAGAAGTATATCCTGAATTAAGAAGTCCTTTGGAACAAGGGTGTGTGCTCAAAAAGGTAGTTCCGCGGAAATCGCATTTGAAAGTTCAGAAGTGCATAGCGTTGGTACTAGCCAATATCTTTGCACGAAATTTAATTAGTTTGAAAGAACAAGTCTTTGAGAGTATACTTGCAAAAACGGAACATTGTGACTACATTCCCCTATGATCCCTACAAGATAACGTGGATCGTTGTGTAAAAAGGGTGGGGGGGGGGCACGACTTTTCAATACACTATGTATATTTCCTGAAACTAGGAAGAATCCAGTTTCAGAAAACGCGTTCTCCCGAAAAAGGGCGGATGCGCGCATACGCCTTTGTCCCAAAGAACTCCATGTAACCTGCCGGCACGGCGGTGTCTAGAAGAAAAAAATCAGTTGCACCTCATGAAATTTTAGCTCTATTTTCGAGTGACCGCGGTGTTGCGCTGTCAATTATGGGTTTGCACCTATAGATGCTTGTCTGAGGGATATTTTCTTGAAAAAGTAGTAGATTTGTCAATTGTTCATGTGCCTCCGTTTTCCTCGTTGGCATGAGATGAGATAGGTCCAATCAGCACCCGATATCTCCGAAACGCGCCACGCCGCGCTGCGCCTCGTCGCACAGTTTACATTTGATTTGGAGCGGCCTATGCGTGAAACTAAATTCGGCGATAGTACATAGTCGCGCACTTTTCAAACTCCGGTTCCCTGTTGGGGAGTAAACGCTCCAGTCGGAGAACCAGGTGACATATTCTGGAGTAGAGGCGCTTCGCGTCCCTTGTGGATGTTTCATCGTCCCAATCCTGAATGATATCATCTAGCTCCATAAATAGTCGGCCGCATTCTTCGACTTCTTCTAACGTAGAAAGGTTTCCAACACATGATGAGTCAACAGGCCGTTCTCGGTTGTCGACCATCCTCT